CCCATCACTTTTTTTTTGTTTTATCTTCTCCGTGCTTTCTGTTTTTTTTTCGGTTTCTTGGAGCAGATGGTCACGTCATTGGCTAGAAGTGAGATCATAAACCATGGGACTTGTGATGTGTCCTCTTGAGATCCAAACTGCCGCAAACGGTCGCAGTTTCATTCGGGTCGATGCCGGAGATTACGTACTAACGTTGCCACGTTCAGATGTTCGCTCGGTGGCCAATTTGAAAGGTTGGAATTGCCAGGAGGGGTTGAATTGCCAGTTGGAGGATTTCCTGGGTCGGGGTAATTTCTTTCCATCGAAACCGGTTTTTTAGGTTAGGTGGATGAGATATTGGGTGGGTCGTTGGGTTTCTGGTCTATTGGTTTTGGGAGGTACTTGGCGGGAGAGTTGACCGCAGCTTTCAAGTGAAGGAATTCATTTTTATTTATGGGGGATAGTCGACGGATGAGTTTTTTTATTGCTTGAGGTTCCAACGTGCGAATGGACGAGAAGATAAATTTTATTTAATTGGTTTTCAAGATGAACTTGGCACAGGACTTCACCGCAGCTCTTACTCAAAATATTCATTTCTCATTTTTCTTGACAACTATAAAATCAAAATAACCAATTTTTATTCCGTTCTATAGTAAATTTTGCGATCTTTGACAGCAAAAATATTTGAATATTAATATTATTAGAATTAATCTCCATAACTTTACAATACGAAATTGGCGCGAGCCTTGACCGCAACTCTCGATCAAATTAATTCAATTCTCCTTTTTCTCGAGAACTATAAGACCAAAACGACCATTTTTTTGCATTCTATAGTAAATTTCACGACCTTTGAACCAAAGATATTAGAATTCTCGAAACCCTCTAAAAAATCTCACGGCTCGTAAAGAAAAGTAGTAAAACGCGCGTTTGACAGCCCCAGTAGTTTCCCGTATTTACTATTTTGTGTCTTCGTGCTGGGGTTTCTCAATGAGCCCTAAATTTACGTGTGGGGAATTTCACGAGTGAGTTTGTACGTATAGGTATGCCAAAGGGAGAGTTGACTGGGGTGTCGGTTTTGGGTCGACCGCACAATGTCATTTCCCGTAGTTTGGTCAGACGAGCCATGACTACTACAGTTTCTGAGTACTTCGGGGCACTTGGTCACGCCTTCGGGGGACAGTTTAAGTGGGGGGAGAAGCACCGGGGTATAATTCCTACGACGATATCCACGATAACACACGTTCACGGATTGGATAATTGAGACATCTCTAATCGCGTCATTTTTTCATCAAGGGACCAAGGGAGGATATTATTAATGAATAGCTCCGGAGGTATTTCTCTGAATCGTTAAAATGAAGAGCCGTTTTACGGCACTGACCGAGTTATTGCGGAATTTTTTTATTATGTTGACATTATTTGTTTGACCACTCGGACAATTATGGAGCACATGTAATTTTTAATAATTTTTTTATTGGTATTTGGGAGGGAGTAGGAAATTCATTGAGCAATCAAACGTGAAGTCGTTAATGTGAGGTTAGGGCGACAATTTTTATATTTTCTCCGGTTTTGGTGGGGAAGGGGGTGGAGGAGAGATGTGGCAGTGCGCTAGCCGGAAAAACTGACTCATGACTGGAGAAAAAAAATTAATTTTGGCCCAATGGTTTCGGAAACACTTGGCGCTAGACTTGACCGATGCTTTCTACCGAAAAATTGGTTATTAATTCTTCTCCGGATCCACTGAATTAAAATGAATAATTTTTTTTTTTATTTTCATGATAAATTCTTTATTCAATTTTCTTGAGTGAAAACCCGAAAATCTGACCCTTTGAGTTCGGGTGAAAAAAATTTTTTTTCACTTTTCACTATTTCCACATACTTTTGAGAGTTCTGAATAGCCCGTCGCTTAAATAGTTGGAATCAACGTTCACCCGGCTAGAAAATTCGATTTTGGCGAAAATCCACTTGCCCCGGAAAACCCGAAAATTTGACCCTTTGGCTGGGGCCAAAAAAAACGGTTTCTCAGTTTTGACTTTTTCCACATACTTTTGAGAGTTCTGAATAGCCCGTTGCTTAAATAGTTGGAATCAACGTTCACTCGGCTAAAAAATTCGATTTGGGGAAAATCGACTTTCACCCTGACCCCTGACCCACGTGAAAATGAACAATTTTTTTTCGTCTTTTCTGTCACCTGCGAGGGTTTCATTGGTATCAGGGGGTCAATAAATACAGAATCAACGTTCACTATTTTTTATTTAAACACCGCCTGCCAACGGGGCGATGAGGGGGGCTAAAATATATTCGGCAACCCTGTCTCCTCGTTGGCTACAAATTTCAACCCTCCGCATACACGCCTTCCCCTCCACCCCCTCGTAAAATCCCGCCGTCTCGGTAGCATAGAGGAGGACTTCTCAGGTCCGAAAAGAACTGAGGATTCGAAAGGTCTCCGGAAAAGTACGTCGCAGAACTGATTAGGACCTACCAGGTCCATCTAGGTCTGGAGAGATCTTGAGAGACCTGTGTACTTCCAATCAGAACCAAATCCTCGACTCGGGGATGTCAAGTTATTTCAACATTTAATCAGGAGAATAATTTCTCACTTAAAAAAAATATTTTCGTCCAAGTAAAACATAATTATTCCCTCAATAACTCCGCAGCTCTCGTCTCCTAAAAACTTCAGCCCTAATAATTAAAAAATAATATCCAAATATAATTTTAACAACCCCCCTGAAAACTTCAGTCATCAGCGCCAAGAACTTCAGTGAAAACTCGCCATTTTATGCAGCTCACAAAAAAAAAAATACCAACTCCGGGTGGAAAAAAATTTATTCCTAGCTACTTGCTTCCCAGTCTCATGTATAAGTTCTATGATAAACATTTATGTATACACGAATATATTTTCATGCATTTATGCTCTGAATTTCCATGTACCAGGGGAAATAAACAGTGTAAAAGTGTGCGCACGGCGAGAAGAGGTGGATCGGTATCTCCAGAGGGGTGACGGGAGGTTTGGGGTTGGGGGTGATTCTTCGGAAGCTGCACCGAATATCTCGGATCATGACTATGCTCAATGCTCTCTCTACCAATCCGCGTATACGTTCCTTATTCTTTTTGATACTCTGCCAGGAACACTTCGTTCACTCGTCCCGCTTCGCAAGAGGTCGCGGAAGCGAACGCTTTCTACTCGGTGGGGTGGGAGGGGGGGGGGGGGGGGGGGGAAGGACTCGATTCTGCATGTTCAACTTCTGCTTTATTGGATTTATCGAGGAATTCATTGCTCCACGTGATTTCATTTTTTTATGAGTAAAGGAAATGTCCTGAGGTGATTACAAAATGAAAAAAATTTTGGTCGCTTTGAGAGTTTATTCATAATCGCAAAAATTTCAACAAAATTCACATGGACTTGGTAATTCCTTATCTTCTATCTTCGCAGAGATTATTTATTCTCGATCCCATTTCATACTATCGGTTACAGTGAAAATTACGATCGTTGAGATATGAACATTTTCCTGTGTGTCGACATGCCAGCAAAACCATTACTCTCCTTTATCCAATCATATTCTAACCTATAATAATGTCCACCATGAATTCACTCTATCGATCACGTTATTGAATCGAAGTGTGCGGCAATACACGAGGAAGATTAAATCTGTTCGTCATTAAACCATCCCAGTGCGCCATGAAAACTCAAGTACGATGTTAAAACGTAAGGAGAGAAATTCATCATCGGTATAATTCAGTTGAAAAACAAATTTTTGTCGTCCTCCGCTAGTCCGAGACGATTGTCTCCATGTACCTGATAACTATGATTGTGATCACTGCACTTGGTGGCAAACCGAGCCCTCAATATCTCTTCCCCAGAAGTTTCGTCAGACTGGAGAAATCTCGAGATATCTCGGGGAATCCCAGGGGAATCCAATGAATAACGAGTAAAGTCTACAAATACTTGGAAACAAAATGGCAACCGGAAATTACTCAAACTTTCATCTATCATCCTCAATATCTTCCGACGACAAACGGATAGATATCGTTAAATAAAATTCCACTTCACAATCTGCATTGAGGAGAATTACCTCTCGAGAGAATTTTCAAGACTAATAAAAATAGTCTATTAATCCACATTTGCCAGATATACGGGAAATTCGATGATTTACGCGAGCGGGAAAAAGTTTTTCGCCCTGAACTCGGAGGAGGGTGGGAGGTGTGATGTGCGTTCTACTTGAACTATCGTGGATCTAGTCCGAAGTACCGGAATAAAATGCATCACTCGCTTGAGTTCTAGTTCATAAAATTTTTCTAGGAAAAAAAAAGTAATATTATGCATGAGGGATGTGGGGTCCCCACTGACCCCAATCGATAGCCGAGGGAATTCACCATTCGATAAAGAAACAACCCATTTCGCCTCAATATTTGAAATAATACCAATGACAGATTATTAAAAAAAAAAAAAAAAAAAAAAAAAAAAAAAAAAAAAAAAAAAAAAAAAAAAAAAAAAAAAAAAAAAAAAAAANTTGTACATGAAGGATGTGGGGTACCCAGTGAGTCCAACCGACAGTCGACAGAATTCACCATTCGACAAAGACACGACTCATTTTGCCCCGGTATTTCATAAAATACCGATGAGCAATTAAAAAAAAAAATTCATTTAAACCCCGGGAAAAAAATCTGGACCAGAGCGGAGCATGTGAATGACGCGATGGAGAGCAGTATAACGAGGTTAATAAGGCAAAAGCCTGTGGCACTATCACAGTGGATTCCATATTTACACCTCCGCTAACGCCGTCCAACGGCTCCAGCCCTCCTCGCTCACCCATAACACATTACAACCTCTACCGTTGGTTTTTTCCTCCTCACCCGTCTGAAGAGAGAGAGAGAGAGAGAGAGAGAGAGAGAGAGAGAGGCAGCATTAACAAAGGCACAGTCCCGAGCCACTGGAGGGGTTTCTACCGAGCTGTAAACGTTGAACCGAGGCCGACTCGGTCCAGCCATTACGAGACAAACGATCCGCCTCGAGGTATTAACCCCGCACATACAGCCTGATGCAGCATATACTTCACCCCCGAGTCGTATCGGGATTACGCATTACATTGCTCTCCCTTTTCTCATAATTCTCTGTTCCTTTATATATTTTTTTCCTCCTCACTTTGTGCTCGGAGAAATATGCCTGATCCTCGGGGGGCAAACCTCTTGGACACCTACAAACGATATCTTCAGCTTTGAATTTGTTATGCACTTTATGCATCTCAAAGAATTGACTCGAATTTCAGAGTCCTCTCGCGCTCTTTGTTTGAGCGGGCGGAAATTCTTTTGTGTTGCTTGAGAATTTTTTATTAAATTTCGCTGGAAGGGAAGTGGCGGCTTTTCGTGGCACTGGAAATTCCGGGTGGGGAAATTGCTGAGGATGACCCGTTTAAAGCCATTTTTTTTCTCAAGGTCTGGGGAGTGGAAGAGATTTTTTGCAAGTTCAACCGGAATTATGACGAGGAAACATACATTTCGCCATCATAAACCATTTTTAAAAAATTCTCCCAGAAATGATTCTTTTTTATCAAGCATGTCCTTTAACCCCATTTGCATTAGCGGTTTGATGAGAAAATACAGATTTCTCAGAAAATTGTGAAGAGGAAACATCAATTTTTTTTTATCATAAACACTTCAACAAAAAAAAGTAAAAAAAATAATTTTGTCCTGAAAGTTTTACTACAACAATATCTGACAGAACGTCGAACTCCCCTCCAGAAACATTCAAATCTTGAGTTGTTTCAAGAAGTACTTGAAAAATTTAATGAAAAATAAATTGATAAAAATTGTTTTCCGTATTTTCTCCCCTCCCGCAAACTTTTCAAACTCATTATTTTTTAAATGCATTTCACCAGGAAGCCAACGATTCCCCCACGTATATCCAGCAAAGTTGGAGGATCCTCCAGAGTTTGAGGCCAGAGTGCGGAACTCACCGAAGACACTGGTGGAGATGTGTATGACGGTGAGGGGAGGGCAATACGGGGAGAGCAGTTTGGCGTAGCATTTTCGTTGAGGCCAACTTAATTTCAACTCCCCCGGAGGTTATTCCACGAAGAACAAGAATTTTCACATCCGACTACGACGTACCACCTATGCGGTAAGTGACTCAATTTACGTTATTCACTGTGTGTGTCATTCTGTAAACGTGACACCGCAACTCAGTGATCAACTTTATCACCTCAATTTTCACTGCAATTACCTCATCTTGAAAACCATCCTCAATAGTTGAATGAAAAATTATTTCCTTTGATAGATCAAAAAATTGATCTGTCATTACATTGTTTCTGTGTCGAATACGTCACATTTCTACTTTTTTTTTCTATTAATTCTTCATCGGTATTTGCTACAATAGTGAGGCAAAATGGGTTGCTTCTTTCTCGAATGGTGAATTTCCTCGGCTGTCAGGTGGGGTCACTGCGGACCCCACATCTTTCATGCATAACATTTCTACTTTTTTTTTTTTTTTTTAATAATTCTTCATCGGTACTATTTGAAATACTGAGGCGAAATGGGTTATTTTTTTATCGAATGGTCAATCCCCTCGACTATCGATTGGGGTCACTGCGGACCCCACATCCCTCATGCAGAACATTTCTATTTTTTTTTTTTTTTATAGAAAAATTTTATGAACTAGAACTCAAGCGAGTGATGCATTGTATTCCGGTACTTCGGACTTGATCCACGATAGTTCAAGTATAACGTACATCACACCT